AAAAAAAAAAAAAGTAGTACGAAAACAAACATAAAAAAAAATTAAAAAACCCAGCAACAAATAGCTAAAGTGCTTACTTTATTATGCTGGACCTGAACATTTAGGAAGAAAGATAAAATGTACTTTGGGAAGACATTCAGGTCACTAGATGCTATACTTGGGGAAGGGAAAGGAACACTGGATTAGTAAAAAATGAGGAGTAGAGGACAGCTCTTCATGCACTGTTTTTAAATTATTTGTTTAACATTTATTTATTTTTGAGAGACAGAGAGAGATAGAGCATGAGCGGGGGAGGGGCAGAGAGAGAGAAGGAGACACAGAATCTGAAGCAGGCTCCAGGCTCCGAGCTGTCAGCACAGAGCCCGATACGGGGCTCGAACCCACAAACTGGGGGATCGTGACCTGAGCTGAAGTTGGATGCTCAACCGACTGAACCACCCAGGCGCCCCTTTTCAGGCACTGTTTTAGGTTGACTTCTAAAGGGTTATAGGCGCCTACAAGCTTACAAAGCACAAAATTCATTCGGTTTCAGTTCCTAACATTTCTCTTTACTGAGTCTTTCAAGAGTAGAAGGAAGCGGGACCAAAATAGAAACTGATCAAGTTGCAAAGCATATGGCTGAATGTTTGAGAAGGGTTTTAAAAATGAATATAATTGAACCATCTGTAAAATAGGTAGTTGTTTCATTGGAAAGGGCAAAAGGAAGAAGCGTGATCAGTCCAGAAAGAAGATCCCAGATACTCCCGAGTGCTCTTAATTCAATAGGAACTTTTCAACCTGGTGTAAGATTCCGGATACCTTGATACCGGTCCCACCCCAAAGAGTATAGACTGCCCTTGGTAGTTAAATGATTTAAATGAAGACTAGCGTAAGATAATCAGCTGCTTCGAGCCTGCAAGAAGTAAGGTATCTACTCACCTCCAAATCTGCAATTCTCCAAGGCTCCTCTTTCATCATGACGCTGAGTTAAAAATTGAAGGATGTTTTTTTTTTCCCCACAATGTCCAAGACCTTCCAGTCTCGGTCAGTGCAGGGAGCTCCCCCTCCAGTCTTCTGCAGACTTAGCCTAATGGTTGCGGAAGAGAAGGTATATATGCTGATTATTTCAGTGCACGAAGAATCTGGAACAAGCAGCAGAGACACCCTCTGTTCTCTTCTGGGCTTTCAGATCCCTTGGCATTTGCCACAGCCCAAGAGCTTAATGATCAAGCTCTTCTGAAAGAACACTTGGGATGGGCTAAGTTCACATCTTACTTCTGCCACTTGATAGCCAAGTAGGCTACTTTTTGTTCTTTAATTCTCCGATATCCAGTTCAATTCTGGCCTCTTCTATTCCAAGGTGAATTTCCTCCAGCTTTTAGGTCTCCAGCTCCGGATCCCATGAATTTTGTCTAAAGGTCCTAAGGCTGGTTCATTGGTATTTGGTGCTTCTCCTGCTGGTATAAACTCTTCAGCCATTGATATTGCATAATGTGTGCTTCGTACAATTATGCAGAACAAATTGAGAACAAACTGAGTTATTGGATATACTTTTTAGAATTCTAAATTCTTCTCGCTGATGGTACTTCGGTAGCTTTGATGCTGATTACTGCTTGCTGATAATGGGATGTAGTATAACATTGTATGTGATTCAGCACAAAATTAGGCAGATGTCATGGTGTTCCACAGAGAGCACAAAGACTTCCAGAGCAAGCTTGCAAATAATCCTTAGAGTTCATTGATAGTGAATGAGGTTATTTTCATCCTAAGGTCATTTTGACCTTGAGCCTACATGTTGCCCTATTCATGCTCTTGGCTTAAAGTTAGAAATGCAAACTATTGGTCTTGTCTAATGATGAATATTATTGATAAACATGAACACTAATGTCTAAAATTCTATGTGATGTTACTTGTTATTGGGGGAAGAGTTAAATCTTGATTATTCTTGTCATAAAAATTCACACAATTTTACTCAGAAAATTGGACTTAATTGAAATAACGGACGTAAAAATTCACAGTGGCAAGCTACGATTTGGACACAAAACTGATTGATAAAACAAGTCTTGTTTAAAATAGTTACATAAGAAAGAATTTTTGCAAACCAAAATAACAGGTAAAAATTATAAAATAAACAATGGAATTAGATTAATTTTGCCATGCAGAAAATTAATCAAGGCATTATACCGACTTAATTTTGTTTTCACAAGAGAATATATTCTTTTTGGCTAAAAATTCAGTAATGATGATATTCCTATTTAAACATTTCTATTTAAGCAGCGCAGCCTCAGGAGGAAAACTAGGTCAGAATGTGAAGATCAACCCCATTCTATAATTTCTAGGGAAACAGGAGCTCCAGGAAATATAATAAACAAGTAGCCGTGTTGCTCTACAGGTGATTAAAGTAAAGGTGGTATAAAATACCTGGTGAAGGTCTACCCAATAATTATTAAGTAGTTTGATGATAAAGAGGACTATGTTTCTCTTGATAATAATTATTGTATTATCAGTATCACGAGGAATGGCAAAATTCCCGCCTTGAACTGTAGTCACTCTTGACAATGACCTAACATAAGACACCTGGCCTGAGAAATGCGTAAACTAAGAAATAAGCTCATAAAAAGTGCCTAGAGTTCATTGAAATGATTATTTAAGAGCCCCAGCAAGGGAAGACGAGAAGCGAATTCCGTAATCCACGCGGTGATCAAAGTGGCCATTCTTCCTTCCCGTCTTGGCACACATGCTGGTCAGGCATGGGCTGATTAAAGAGGGCATTAACTCCCTGCTGTCCCCAAGTTTGTTTGAATGCGCTGAGCCTGCCTTGCAGACCTGGCTGGGAGCACGCTGGACTTGAACTCTTGCTGTTTTCTCCGCTCCATCAAGTCTGGCGAGTTGCAAGCTCACAGTGTTTTGTTTTTTTTTTGTTTTTGTTTTTGTTTTTTTGTTTTACTCCTACTTCACTAGGGTTTCCATAGCTGCTGTCCTGAGGTATGTAATAGTGCTGGCAGGAATTTCCCTCTTCCTGCAAAGACTCAACGGGTATCAGCCACAAGGTCTCCCCCAATCTTTCCCCCCAGGCTGAGACGTGAAAAGACTGGGATGATCCTTAGTATACCAAGAGGTCCCCAAGAAACAAATGTAGGACGTGGAATCAAGGGCAGAGAAGGCGATTGATACATGTTTTAGCGACTTTGTGCGATGAGGGGCAAAAAAAAAAAAAAAAATCACACGATGACATTTGACAACAGGCAGTCCTCTAAAAAGCCCGTCCTTGGCATTTCAATGCCTATCTTAGGCAATCTGACTTCTGAGTCTTGCTGTCTCACTGATGGTTCTCGTCTGTCCACACTTTCTCGTTCCACCGCCAGACCTAACACCGCCTTGTTGGATCCGAGCTCTCCCGAGTTCTCCGCCGTGGTATCCGTTGGCGACTGGCTCCAGGCCATTAAAATGGACCGGTATAAGGATAACTTCACGGCTGCCGGCTATACCACACTAGAGGCTATAGTGCACATGAACCAGGAGTAAGTACTCAGCGATGTAACACCAAAGGGTAAATCTAGATTTAATAGTATTTGCCGTTCTTGCTTTGAGCTGCATTATCATCCTACTCATTAAAAAAAAAAGAAAGAAAGAAAGAAAAAGAAAACTGGAATGCCTTTCATTTTGATCGCGTGTAATTTTTGCACAGCCTCTCGAGCACCTACATTGTTGCATTAAATTGCTTAATTAGACATTAGAACATACCTGCCTTGTTGTGCCGTATGAGCTGTGGCTGATTCAAATGTGTGTCTGCATGAAGCCCCGAAACGAGATTCTCGGCCCTCATGCCTTTTTCTCTCCCTCTCACTTCTCCCCCCGCATCCAGTGACCTGGCAAGAATCGGCATCACAGCCGTCACACATCAGAATAAGATTCTGAGCAGCGTCCAGGCGATGAGAACCCAAATGCAGCAGATACACGGCCGAATGGTTCCTGTCTGAGCCAGTGCTGTTGAATAAACTCAGAACTCTTGAAATTAGTTTACCTCATCCATGCACTTTAATTGAAGAACTGCACTTTTTTTAACTCCGTCTTCGCCCTCTGAAATGAAAGAAAGAGTAAAATAACCTGCAGCGTCGCCCGGTGTACAGATTTTGCTGAGATCGCGGGGCTTACGGAAATGACAGACCGTCGCTCGAATCGAGACCTGGAACCCATTGTGTCTCAGAAGTACTCCGTCCGTCACCAGTTTGTAAAATACACGTACCTGTATAAATAGAACACCACCTCCGGGTTTTGATGAGTATTTGCTGACAGACACTGAGCTTCTCTGAGACATCCTTGATCCTCTCTCCATTTGGAATTACAACTACAGTATTTTGTTTGTGGTGTAAATGACCGTCCTCTTGCTCTCACCAGAATGAATACCATGCCCAGGAACATTTGGGAAGGACTCAGTCGTAGCTTCTAAGGCTTGGTTCTTACCACGGAAAACAACCTAGGTGAAAACCGCGTAGCTCATCGGGCCACCTCGTGGCTTATGGTGACCTGAAAGTCATCATAAGGGTCTGGAAAGAAAAGGAAAGTGGATTTTAAAAAATAAAAATAATAAGAATGATAATAATAAAACCCAAACACCTCCCCCTCACTGGACAAACAAGGTCTGTTTCTTTGGGCCTGAGGCTGTGCCATATAAAGTCGTATTTTGGGACTCTACAAACTTCTTGTAACTACCTTATGGATAGTGGACCGTGACAATCTTGAATAGGGAACTTTCACACTTCCCTCCTTTAAAGAAGCAAACCCAGACCTACAAGGTAAGGCAAAAGAATCCGCAATGGATCTTTCTCCAGTGAAAACTCTTTTTCTGGTTTTCTTTTTAACTCGATCCAACTTGAAACACCAACCAATAAATATTCTTTCATGACTGTCAGGCAGTTAGGGGTTCTTTCAGGATGTTAGTCCTCTCTTGACTGTGGGAGTAGAGACCGGTATGGAAGCCAGTAGGTTCTTCCCTGTTGTTCTTTCGGGAAGAAGTGAAATAGGAACCATACGAAGTCAGGTTTGGGAACATGGACCTAGACCCCCACTGGCTCTCTCTCACACTGAGTTCCTTTTACCCTTTGGTGCCCGTCATTCAGGCCACAAATACTTCCTATCTTTGGGGTACAAAGTAATCACCTCTAATCTGGGATCATGCCTCATTCTTTGGAGACTTTGCTGCAGTTGAGAAATCCTGGAAGGTCCATCCATTATTCTTATTTTCTGCCCTGCTCCTGTAGCCCCGGCACCAGACAGGGTCAGCCAGGGAGGATTTACCTCGAAGTCAGGAGTGAGACTTGGAACTTACCTTGATGTCCTCGCTATTAGAATGTGACCTACCGGAAAACATGGCTTCTCATCCGTAAAGGCCGTGAGCCTTAGATCCTTCTATTTTAATCCCAGAATTTTCCTCGTGAAACGTGAATTAAATGGCTTTGTGTATTGTCAGAAACAAACGACCTAACTCTTTTTGCCTGGACAGATTTTAACTTCTTAAACGCTTCCATTTGCGCTTTTAAACAAAAACTTGGTTGATTTTAATGACCTTCCTCCCCCCGCCCCCCCACCCTTGGTTTTATGCTGAAAGCTATTTCTTATAGAGCAAAAGGCATGTTCAATCTGATGCTGTCAAATCATGACAGTTTAGTAAAAACCTTTTTGCCACGCTGGTTGTAAAAGCTTTTCTCTTCAGAAGGAATGTGAAATTTCTTTCTTTCTTTCTTTCTTTTTTTTTTTTTAACTACTCCAGCAATTTCTGTTTCATCACCACTTTTGCTGAACCCTGAGAGTTCCGGATATTCATGTTCAAAGTTGACAATGTAGGTGGGGTTATTTGCTTGCTGGAAAAAAAATAAAAAATGTATATGTTTATTTTTTTTCCTTCAGGGAATCTGTGGAGTATTTTGTTTTCAATCTCCACGGTGCAATTCAAATAAGGTGGCATTATGACATTATCTTGTAAGTCAAGAGTGTTTCCTTGCATACACCGAATAATTAGAAGTCTTGCTTTCCTCGAGGCAGCAGCTTAAGACTTGAGCTATTTTTCTAAACGCTGAACATACTCAAAGCAGAACGTTTCTAAAAAGAGAACGTGTCAGCTCTCAGATACCCTAACGAGTTAATGCTGGACACTGTGCGGCCGTCGTTGTGTTGTTTTCTCAGCACGTATCTGTGTACGTGAGCTCATCAGGCAAGGATTGCCAGGTGGGACGTGAAATCTTACGACGTTCAAAGGTTGCCTTCCGAATCTTCATTTTAACACAGCATAGGAGGTAGAGTCCAGGCCAGTGGAAAGGCCAACGGAGGGCCTTCCGAGTGCCCACAATAATATCCGGTAGCTGTAAAAGTGAAACCTCACTGCTTCTGCGAAGTTACACATTCTAGAAGAGAAACAGGAGGACAGTGGGAAGGTTGCATTGTTTCCCAGGGCACGGAGCCAGGCTCTGGCGTCCAGACAGCTATGGATTCGAAAGCCAGCTGAGATGTTGACACTGGGAAATTCACTCCATGTTTCTTTATAACTCAGATCCTCCACCTGTAAATTAGAGATGGTGATAACTTCAATAATAACACCTTTCCTAACACACAGCGTTGTCGTAAGCGTACGTGACACGCTCTTGTGTAGAACGCGCTGGACTTCACGGAAGGAAGGTGCGCTCTTCCTCCTCCAAGGTTTTCCGGGTGCTGCTCATCCGTCTTTCACTCGCGAACCCAAATGTTGCATTGCGACATGCTGGAGTGAGGTGAAATGAAGTTCAGTGGTAGGAGCCGTGCCCGCAAAGCCGCTTCACCTTAAATGGATTCGTGAGGATGTGATTTAAACGTGTGTCTGTACAAAAGGTACACCTACCTTTGTAGACCTACCAAATACTCCTTTGTCGCTTAGCCTTGAAATTCGTGACATTGTTTTATAATTGAAAAAAAAAAAAATGAAATGCACAAGTCAGATCCCGTTGTAACGAATGGAACTGGATGGTAAAGACACTTTGATGCCTTCATAACGGATTCAGAGGAACAATGTTTTGTTTATTTAGATGCAGTGAAAGTCACATCTTTCCCTCATGGTGCCACATAGACCACATGCTTTGGTCTTTGTCCATACACTTCCCCGTGATAAAGAGGTTGTCTCCATTCAAAGGAGCTAACGTTTATTTTTCTCCACCCTAGAATATTCTGGCATCAGCTAGATACAATCCTTCATATTTCCTACCCTTGTCACTTCAAACCTCCAACCCTTTGCACATACACAGTGAGTCCCCAAATAGCCCACTTCCTATTACAAACTATTTTCATAACATGTATTTATATCCAGGCATTTAGTGAAGAAGAGGGTTGGGGAACTGAAAGGGAACAGAAGTGTTTTGGGACTCCTTTTTCTCCTCTAAGAGTAGGATTTCTAGCAGTACAACAAAATCACCTTCCAAAAGTGTGCCTATCCATATGGCGTTGGTTGTGTTCCAACAGTCTTAAGGTCATACTCTTGTTCTCCTTGTCCTGCATGTAAATACATGCCTGCCTGATTAAGTCTCTGCACAGTCAGGTTTCAGGAACTACATTTGATAGACGTACTAATTTCCAGAGAAGACACAGCTGGAAAAGTAGATCCAAATCCTTCTCTTTCTTTCTTCCCCCCCCCCCCATAATTGTCAAAATGAATGATGTTGACAAGAGGCTTCTTGCAGGGAGGGCTTGCTAGTTATAACCGTACCCACATGTATAGTTTTAAGTTGCTTAAGAAGTAATCTCTATCCGAGTATTTTATAAGAAAACTTTATTTCTCTCTCTCCAAATAGACTAAAGTGTTCTCTACAAGACCAAATCATGGTTATTGACCTCAAAGAAACTAACCTGGATTTATATCTCACACACGACAAACACACATAGGTTCAAAACCAGCATGTAAACGATTGGTTTAATAAAACGAGCTAAACTGTCTTTGAAGATACGTTCCGGCCTTAATCCTTGCTCTCTCGATACCTGAGGTCATTCGCTGCCAAACACGCTGTTGTGGTGGAAGACACAGTCCCCAAAGCTACCTTGATTGTCAGTTGTCACAAAAGAAAGAAGAGGAACTGCTTATTCGGGTTTGCGTTGATAATTGTGAGGACATTGGAGAGCCACGATGATTCCATTGCATCGCGCTGATCTGCCCAGTGCTAGACTGATGGGGCAGTCGTGACTGATTAGTTCTTGGTGGGCTTGAGCCCCCAAAACCTTTCTCACTGGCACACCAAATGCTTCCCCGTGCCACGGCCCAAAGGGTCCCTCTCTGTGCCTGGTCCATGCAACTCGTATGACTCCTTTACCAGATACTCTCCTTCATTAGAAGTTCCTTTGTAAGAAAAACGTTCAGTGATTTTTATTTCTTCGTTTGCATTTTTGCCAATCATGTCGTTGAATAATGGCGGATTGTGGCGTTTCCAGATCTGTTCCCACAACACACAATTTCCCTTTTTGGAAATACTGGGAGCTAGTATCCGGGGCTTTACCTGTAACACAGTTTGCCTTTCACATCATTTTACCTTTCTCCTCTTACACAAATGAATCATCACAAGTCAGAATTTTCATCTCACAGAGGCTGTTTGCCCAGTGGATAAGGCATGGCTATAGACTCAGACTGTGTGGGTTCGAATCCCCGCTTTGCTCCTTCGCCATGTGTGACATGACTGTGAGCAGAGCAGATTGCTCGGCTGTGCTGAGATTCAATGGCCTCATCCGTGTGATAGGAGTAACACGAGTCCCTTCCCCAAGTTGTTATAATTAAGCTACTAATAAACACTTTTGTTGTTGTTGTTGTTGTTGTTGTTGTTGTTGTTACTGTAGTGGTCCTGTTTCAGAGGAGGAAAGCAGGAATTCATGCTCTCCCTCCTGAGCTGCATCTTACTGAGCCACACCGACCCTTACGTGCTTTGTTCTTGCCCGTAACGTTGGCTGACAACTGGCTGGCCGTATTGGTTGA